ATTTTGTGTAATTATATTTTAATTCAAATGTATCAAGTTGGTATATCATGCTTAATGAGATGACCAATACAAACAATTCTAGGCAATAAATAATTTATTATAATAGTTTTTTAGCAGTTTTATTTCTCTTGTAGTTGCCACCTTTTGGATCAAATTTTAGTACTTTAATTGCTTTACAGATTTTTTGCTTAATTACTAGACATAATAAAGGTTTAGGAATAGGATTTCCCTATTTGGTTTGCATATACCATGCCTAGATTTTATATATAACATTAATGTTAATCCAATTTTTTAACTGGATATTTCCAGTATAATGGTCCGTAAATATATCATTCAAGTTTCTAGATATTTTTAAGCCTGCTGCTAGGTTTATCTGTTCTAATGCTATTTTTCATATCTTTTCGCTGATTGGACATTTAAGTGCAAAGTGTTCTGGTGTTTGAATTGCATTGGGGCAGTTTGGGCATGTTCCTAAGTTTTTAGTGTCGAAGTGTAAGATTCTAAATCCTAAGGGAAGGGCTTTGTGTTGCAATCACCAGTATATATTTTTCTTGTAATTGGGGATCCACTTATTGTACATCCATTTCCACCTATCCTTCAGTGAGTTATCTATCAGTTGACTCTGATTTTTGATGTTCTGTATCAAGTTCTCTTTTAGAAACTTGACCATAGTTTTAACTGAAAATTGTCTGCTGACATGTTTGCAACAACGATGTTATTTTTATTCCAAGGCCAGTTCTCTAAGTTGGTATCTATTTTGCCATTGGAATGCTTCTATGCTATTACATAAGGCCTCCATTGTTCTGGCCATCCTTTTGTTTTGATCGGGATTAGGTTTAAAGTGTCTTTAACTGTAATATTCCTTTTAGTGTACAGCATCCTTTCAATAATTGTTCTTTTCACCTTTGCTTACATGTTCTCCTCAGTCAGAAGTTTTATCCAGATATAAGTTAAGTATGCATCAATTATATCAGATAGGGTCAGAGCATTTAACCCTTCTTGTGAAATTGAGAGCTGAAAGATGAAGTATCTCAGGAGTAATCTGGATTTCGCTTTAATCCATCTTTGTAGCAAATTATTAATCGAGGCAAGTTGTTTTTGTGTTGGAGGAACCAGGTATGCTACATATCATATTTTTAAAATCACAAGGGATTTTGCTAGAAGAATTTTCTCTTCAAATGAGAGATTGCATGTTTCCAGTTTTTTTAATATGTCTTCCAAGCTTTAGTATAGCATTTTGCCATATATGATGATCAGTTATACCATATGCTATTAATTTGTAGCCCAGCACTAATATAGATTCGTTCTCTTTCAAACATTGGAATCTGTTACTATCTTTTAGTTCTATATGTCTGGCATTAGAAGTTAAAGGCATTAGAATTGATTTGATTGTATTGATTTTGGCATTAGAAGCCATTTCATAAGTTTTGATTATTTCTTAGAAGTGGTTCCAGTCTGTTGAAGAACCAATCCTGACCATTAAGTCATCAGCATATGATGCAGCTTTAAAATTTTCATTGGCCATCTGTATTCCTTGAAGATCTTCTGATATTTTTTGTAAAAGAGGTTCAAATGCAATAATATATAGGAGTAGAGACAGAGGGTCCCCCTGCCTTACTCCTCTTTTAACTTTAAATGGCTTTGAGAGAGCTCCAGAGTCCATTATATAAGCAATTTGGTTTGACAGCAACCTTTGAACTAGATTAATGAAGGATGGTGCAAATTTTATTTTCCTTAAAGTTTCTATTAAAAACATATAACTAACCCTGTCAAATGCTTTTTCTTGGTCAATGAATAGCATCCAGTTTTGTTTGTACATATCTGATTAATTTCTTAATACTGAAAGAATGTTTAAGACAGTATTCATAATTAATCTATTTGAAATAAATTCCTGTTGGTAAGGTCCTATAATTGTTTGACATATTGCATTTACTCTACTCATGATAATCTTTAGAAAAATTTTCGCATCACAATTAGTTAATGCTATAGGTTGCCAGTTTTTAATTTTTTTTTAGATTTTTCTCTTTCTTTGGGATAAGTGTAATAACACTTTTACACCATGAGCTTGGAAGTTTACCTTCAATTAATACTGCATTAAAAAGGTCTTTTAGCACTGGTACAATCTTCTTCCTCATTGTCTTATAGAACTCATAGGTTAAACCATCTAAGCCTGGTGCCTTATTACTAGAAAGAGATCTTATAATATTCTCAATTTCCTCAATTGTGATTTCTTTCATAAGACCAAGATTTTGCTCCTCTGATACTGAGCATAGCTTTGAAGTAAGATCTGTTATTGCCTTTATGTTTATAGTTTCTGCCCTGTATAATTCTTCATACATCTCTTTTGTATAGTTAATAATGTCTATAAGATCTGTATTTGAAACAGAGTTTGGAATGCAAACCTTTTTTGTAAAGCTATTAGCATGTCAGTTTTATATCTGAAAAAGAAGTACTTGGTTGAACATTCTCCTTCTTCGATCCAATGAGCATTGGACTGAATTTGCCATTTTTCTGAAAGAGAAGTAAGTTCTTCCTGTAGGTCATTTTGGAGTTTCTTTATTATCATATTTAATTCTACTCTTTCAGGAGAAATTATCACTTCTTTCTATAAGTCCACAATTTTTCTTTGCAGTTTACATATCTTTCTCTCTGAAGCTGGAGAAGGGTTGTATTGATGAATTATTAATTGAATTTTGTTCTTCTATATGTTCCAATTGTCTACTAACAAGTGCTTTTGGAGCTCTTCTTCTATATTTTTTCTTATATTTTTATTTATCAAACATTTAACATTAAATTTTCAGTAGGCCGTATAGGATACATTAGATTGAAGGTTAAAGGTGCACTTGATGAGTAAGTGATCTGAATTACCAAATAGTGTTTGAATATCTTGACAGAATTGGATATAATTGCTGTCAACAAATATGTAGTCAAGTTTAATAGCCATAACTTGATCATTTTTCATTTTCTGTGAATATGTTATAAAAGATTGATCAGCATCTTTTGCAGTGTCTATATAATTTTCTATAATTTAGAAAAGTTTATCAGCAAAAGAGTCATAATGTGGTGGCACTTGACTGATTCTATTTGACTGTGGATTAATGTTTATGTTGAAGTCTCTTGCAATAATGTTCATGTTTTCATTAGTTTCTGGAGACCAGTCATCAAAAAACTTAGATTGCTCTGTCAAGTAAGGGGGTGCATATACATTAATAATCTTGCAGGTAAATTCCTTGATTTTGGCAATTCTGATAATCAATCTTTCTTTATATCCCTCTTTCATATTACTTAGTTCTACCTTTCGATTGCCACTAATATTACTGTTTTTGCTGTCTAGATGGAGTCATATACCTATTGTTGCTTAAAAAAATCTCTTGCTTCTTTATTGTTTAAATTTGTTTCCTGAATCATTATTAAGTCTATATTATATGTCTTTAATAATATGAGCATTTTTGTATACTTATATCTATTATTTAGTCCTTTTACATTTAATGAAGCTACTGTGAATTTGTTTTTTATTGTCACTCACCTAGCATTGATTCCTTCCTAGTGCAAATAAAAATTACGACTGAACTAATTATAGATTTGTGCTCTGCTGTCACATGATTACCAGCTTTTCTCTAGGATCGAGTATACTTATAAATAAATTATATGATCAATAGATTACTTGAAGGCAAAAAAATTTTTACATTCTAGTACATCCTATTCAATAACATTTGGTCTGTCAAACCAAGCTGTTATTCATATATCTTAAGCATTTAGCCCGTAAGGTCAAGCTGCAACCAACGCAATGTGCAACTCTAAACCATGACTGTACCACTAGATGAGCATACACTTGACATTATATTAAGATCAAATTTGCATATGTTCCACAAAACCTCACAAAACAATGCAGGTGGGGGGTTGAGAGGGTGCTAGACTTCCTTAAGTCAAGCAACAGCAAAGTGAAAAGATAAACAAACAAACTTAATCACCTAAATATTTAACTACTATCTTCTAACTCTGACTATAATGTCATAACATCATAATGCCTTCATTCTAGACACCAGTAACCTCATAGCCTTATAGATTACCACAGCCTACCCCTGCATATAATGCTATACAACAACTGACCCCCTAGTATAGTCTAAGTTAGTGTTTCTAGGCTCATGACAAAAAGTGCTACTCATGACTTTGTCTCGAATAGCCTCTATTTTGTTACTCACCTAGTATTGATTCCTTTCTAGTGCAAATAAAAAAATATGACTAAACTAATTATGGGTCTTAAAGAGTATCAGAATACTAATTTACTTAAAGAAGGCATACATGCTAATTTTATTTGTTATCATATTATGCAATTTATCATACAGCAAACTTCTTTATACAGACTCTTCAGAAAAGCCTATTAATACCGATGCCTTCATCTGTGTAGTAGCAAAGATCTTAAATACAAGAGCACTGCCTTAAAATCCCATCTACCAATAGCCTTAATCTGCGTTAAGCTCATGCCTCCTTTCATAGCTGCTGTAGCTCTACCAATCCTTAAACTATGGGATGTAAATCAACCTTGGACATCTGCATTACCTGTCATTCATCTTACCACTGACGTTATAGCTGCAACAGTCAACTGACCTCCTGTATTTGACAAAAACAAAGGTTCCTCCTTACTGGTACTTGGTCTTACCTCTAAGTACTTCTCTAATAAGCGCACTGGACAGAACCTACTATTTATTCTTTCTATTGAAACAAATTTTCTATTTGCAAAAGGGTCATTCTTTGACTTCCTAATCTTTATCCACACCAGGTTATTCTTCTTTTCAATATCTTTTAATCTTAAAGAACATAACTCTCCTGGTCTTCTCATAGTACAAAAACCTATTGCTACAAGTGCTAAGTCTCGTCTCCAAAACACTGAGTTTGCTTTGCTAGGTAGTATATTATGATACATCTTTAAAGCCATGAGTGGAAAGGGGTCTCGAGGCCAAGAAGCCTCCTGATCTTGTGTTTTTAGTAATCTTAAACCTCTAACAACTTCTTTGACTCTATAATTGTTTGTCAAATCCTTGTTCTCTGATCTTTTAAACTCTTTTGATAATGCATTTAAACATACTTGCACTTGTCCACTTTGACCCGTCATATCCAACCAGGCTATAAATGCAAACAAAATATCTTTATTCATATTATTCTCTAGAATATTTGCCCAACTACAAAATTTCCTATATAGCTCATAAGCTTTACTTAGACAAACTCTTTGAGATGAACCTATAGACCTTAAAGCAATACTATCTGCATGTCTTAACAATTCTCTGACCATACTATTCTTGTCACTAGAAACCTCCAATTTGGGTTTCTGAATGGTTCTACTTGGCCAGTGGGACCTGGCACAAAGGTCTTGACAGCTGATAGAAGATTTATTACTCTCTTTAAGGCAAGAAGAAAAAAAGGCCACCATAGAGCTGTTTCCCAAATTGGCAAAATTATGACCAAAGTTGCTTTGCATTTGAAGCTGTGTACTAAAATTTAATGTATTATATTGAATGGCAGACATGCATAGTTTATTTCTGCTTTCCAATCCTAGGTAAACGCATCTACAGCTTCTGAGCGTGGGCAAAAATAAAAACTGTTGAAATGCTTCTTCTTTGCATTCAGATGGTCTGCAAATCTGTCAATTGTTATCTCTCCCTATAAGCTTTCTAGATTTATAAATATGTCATTGTTTAAACTCCAATCGTTTGTATCTATATTTCTTGTTAAATAGTCTGCTGGGTTCTCGGTACTTGAAATCCAATGAACTTTGTAAATCCAAATATCGTTTGCTGCACAAAATTCCCATAACTGACTAGCTATCTCCTTTTGCCAAAAGCAACTTCCTCCTCTTGACACTGTCTTCAGTGCTATTTTGTTGTCAATATAAAGCATTACCCAAGAGTGCTTTACTAGATTCACAAATGATTGGAGAGCTCTTAACACTGCTATACTTTCTAATTGGGCAATCTCTGATGCCCCATATGAAAGAACACAGCTTCCTGCTGATCTGTTTTCTAAGTAAACTCTACACCATCCCATTGTTGACACATCTATAAAGATTGGTTTTATTAGAGAAGGCTTCCATTCTGGCTTGTCATTCTATTGCTCTAGATTCTCACTCAACCAAGCTATATCCTCTTTTGTCTAAACTGTTAGAGTAATAATCTTGTTCCATTCCTAAGTACTTCGATTCTGCACATCTATTAGACTATAAAATTCCAAACACTTCACCTGTGTTAGAAGAAATGTCTGAGCAAAACTTTGAATTTTTTCTGTTATCGATGCTAAATTCCTTACACTTATTCTGTTTAGTTTCTTTAAAGACTCCAATTCAGTCTTTACTGACTTTAACTTTTCTTTTGTTACCCATATCTAAGCCATAATAGTATCTATTTCTAGACCAAGATACCTCACTACTTGTGCCAGCTCCTATTGCCCCTTTTCTTGAGCTCTTATCTATCCACATCCCTTTAAATTCTTCCTGATAATGCTGTTCCTGATTTCTACCAATGTCTGTCTGTCCAGATGGGCCACTCAGACATCGTTCAAATAGCTTCCACAAAATATCCCTCTTGCTTTCCGATCCAATGAGTGCTCTTATAATCTTTGAAAAGATCCAAACTGTCTGAGAAAGACTGAAAGAAAGTACTATGTATTTGTAGCATGTCTCTCTGTGCCTGAAATCTAGGAAACATTGTGGCCACTTGTCCATCTTTACATGATGATAACCATCCTTCAGATTGAAGGTGACTATCCACCATTCTCGGCCGATTGATCTGAGGAACCCACCTAACCCTTCGAATTGTACTGTCTTCTTGGGCAAGGTCTTGTTTAATAGTCTTAAATCGACTACCAGTCTGTATTTCTTCAGACCCTTCTTTGGGATCAGAAAAACTGGACTTATTTCTAATAACAACTCTGGCCTTTTTTTCCCTTGAAGAACCTGTTGCACTGCACCTGATCTGCAAAGTCGGTCTAATTCTTTTTCTAACCACTCTAATTCTTCCTTTGTAAAGCAGATCTGTCTTGGAACCTCCGATTGGAACAAAGTTCTTACTCCTTTCAGAAATAAAGGTACCTCTTCTTTTAACCAATTTATTACTAATGCTGCTGGTTTGATTATTCTCTCCCAATAGACTACTGCTTTCTCTGTATGGATACTTCCTGCTACTATCTCCTCTACCTTCACCTCCTCTAATTCTACTTTCTTTATTCTGCTCTGAGTGTAGTCAACTTTCTGGCTTGGCATCAGTTTTCCGAAAAGGCAACTCTCCTTTCTTATGAGGACAATTAGTAGCAATATGACCTTTTTCCTCACAAATATAGCAGATAATATTATTTAACCTTTCTGACTTCCTTTCTGAATCTCTCAGATCACCCATATTTGGCTGCTGTTGCCAGGCTGGTAACCCCGACCATCCTTGAAACACTGGCTGATTATATTGCCCTAATGGTTGTCCACTGAAAGCTTGCTAGGTTAACTGACCATAAACAGGTTGTTGAAACATCTGATTCAATTCCTGTTGCTGTGAAATTAACGGATTTCCAATAGGTACATTATTTTGATCTAACAATGGCTTTTGAACTGATGACTGTGAAATCTGAGTATAAGAACTCTATTATGCTTGAGAAACAATTGGATTTACCTTCAAAGATGACACGTAATCCATCTTTCTTTTCTTACTTCTCACTGCTTGTCTAGCTAGCACTAATCTCTCTCTAAGTGACGCTTTCATAAAATCCTCAATAACTAGATCACTTAAAGCTGATGCTATATCCCAGCCCTCTTTTTTGGTCACTCGCACTGTATAAGCCCTAGTATAGGCTAACTCTCATGCTCTTATGACTGGTTCTATAGATTTCAACAACAATGCCTCATCCAATTCTTTTTTAATCTTTCACCACTCATCATACTCAAATTGATCTCTAGGTCTCTCCATCTTTACTTCTGGTCAAAACTTATCCTCATCTCGGCTTTTAACTAAATGTAAACTTTGTTTCATATCCTCTAGTGCCTATGACAATGTCACCTGTAAAGACTTTTTAACGATTTCTCTAACATCATATAGCTATTCTCCTCAAAAGGCTTTTCCTTGCTCCTATTACCTTGCAACACATTACTTGGTGCATCATGCATGAACCTTTCCATATCAGCATCACAACACGAATCTAAGTGGTCCATACTACATCTCATTTCCTCTCTCTAACTTTCTTCCTCTATGCTATAAATGCTTAGTTCATTATTTACCTGCCCTAAATCATTAAATTCTACTACTTTCTCTTTCAATTTGCTTGTCATCCTGGCTGCAAACCTTTCTATAAGTTCTTTCTTGGACCCTAAGCCTGACAACCTTTCTGCACTACAGAGCAACCACAAAGTATCCAAGATGAGCCTATCCAAACTATTCTTGAAGCTTGACTTAGCTGAAACTGATTCCTCATGTACCAGCAGGTTGAAGTTTCCTTCTATTTGTTCCTTATGCAAACTCATACTCAATACAGATGTTTTTACTATTTCGTTTACTGTAGAAAGTCCCTTAGATGTGAAAGCTTGTAGTTAATAAAAGCAATTTCTAGATATTTATAGCAAATAGTATATTTGAATATGATAAAGCTAGACTTCCTTAAGCCAAGCAACAGCAAAGCAAAAAGATAAACAAACAAACTTAATCACCTAAATATTTAACTACTATCTTCTAACTCCGACTATGATGTCATAATGTCATAATGCCTTCATACTAGATGCCAGTAACCTCATAGCCTTATAGATCACCACAGCCTACTCCTGCATATAATGCTACACAACAACTGACCCTCTAGTATAGTCTAAGTTGGTGCTTCTAGACTCATAACAAAAAGTGCTACTCGTGACTTTGTCTCGAGTAGCCTCTAATTTTGATTCATATTGTTATTTAAGATTAGGAGGATGTGGGCCTCTATTGTTTTGTTTTTTTTTATATGGACTATTTCTATTATGATGCGAATTTATTACTAATGTTGATCTTAAATTTCTCTTTTTATAAGTAACTACAGTAAATCTCTCACTATCTGGTGAAACATTAATTTCAGAATCCTCTATATGGTTTTTAATTAGAGTTTCTAAACAAATTTGTAATTCTATTTGATTATCTTGGGGTTTTATATTATTTGTTTTATCACACATGTTCTGATCTTCATCTTGTATTGTCTTATTGTTTGACATCTCCTATGCAGTCACTATATCTTCTCTTGACATAGTTTCTGAAGTTGTTTCATTATTTGTTCTATCATACATATTCTGATCTTCATTTTGTGTTATCTTATTGTTCAACATTTCCTCTACCATCACTGACTTTTCTATTAGTATAGTTTCTGAGATAGTTTTATCATTTGTTTTTAGAATATGACCTTGGCTTCTGTCTGTGTTACCAGATTCCATGTAATGCTCCTCAGTTGCATATGACATTGTATTATTCAAAATACTGTTTCTTGACAGATTTTGATTGGCCTTGAATTTTCTATATATTTTCCTTAAGTTAACTGATTCTTTGTACTAAACACAATCTTTTTTAATATGATCTTTATGGTCACAATAAAAGTACACTTTTGGAGCAGCTTTTCATTCAATCATAACTCTTTGATCCATAATGTGTGTGTGTCGAGAAAGTCTTTCCATGATCAAATGTTCTTTTGTTATGTTATATACCACTATCTATTGATTTGATAAGATCATGGTTTCTTTATAGAAAAGGGATTAATTGAAACAATGAGACCAAAATCCTCTATTGCTTCCTTTATGTGATCTAAGATGAATTTCTTTCCTCCCAGAAGTACATTGCATAGTTTTACTGAGAGACTGTTCTTCATAGATTAGTAGAGATGTATTTAAGCAGCATCTGTTTGAAATAGAGATTTCTTCCTGAGCATATTAATGCAGACTTTTTTTATCTTCGAATATTATTTCTAAATCAGTTCTCTGGCCTTTAACAAAATGAGGTTTCGCAGCAATAAATTTATTTCCTATTTGCTCATATATGGCTGTTATTATTTTATTTAGAGAAATGTTAGTAAGGTTCTTGATATTTAGAATCAATGCATTATCATTCTTTGTTTTAATTTTCTCTCTGTGTGCCACTGTAATATAAGTGGCCTTTCCCTTTTACATCTTTGTAAACTGACTTGACCATTGTTTGACTGGTGCTTGTTTTTCTAAAAATTTGTTGCTTCTTTCATCCTCTCTTCACATGGTTTCAAGATCTGTTTTAATGGTCCCCTTAGAGTCACCTGATTCGATTTCATTGGTCAGCATTTTCTAAATCTTTCCAGAAACTTTATTTCTATCTGCCACAGAATTTTCTAATTCCTTGTATGAAGTTACATTTCCTTGAGAGGTTGTTTTTCTCTTTTTATATACTGCTTCTGTTTTTTCTGCCCAACTTACATCAGTTCCTGATGTACCAGTAAAGGTTTCTTGAAGGTTGTACATATAATCATTTGAATTTGGTTGGTTTGTATTGCTTTGATTTTCATTTTCTATATTTTTGTTTTTGGATCTAGTATGATGAGTTTTAATTAGTTTTGTTTTTGGATCTAGTATGATGAGTTTTAATTAGTTTTGCTTTAGTTCCTGTTGTTTCTAAAACTATCATCTTTCGTTTCTTAGGCACAAGGGCAGAAGCTCTCATTCTTTTGGCTGTGTTGGTTGTAGTCTTCTCTTCTTGCAGAGTCCCTTTGTTTCTTCTAGCACTCAGCACCTGATCACTGCAGAGTGCTTGAGAACATATTTTTATACAAATTTAATTAATATTTTATATGAATTTGATTAGTATTTATATGAATTTATGAGTAAAACCTGACTTATCACTATATGATCTGAGACTTTATTAAGGAATACACTTATGTCAAGAAAATTCTTGGCTACAAGTTTGATAATTATAAAAGTAAAGCAAAAAATAATTAAAATCACATTTTTTTTAAAATAAATTCAACTGTCACCTTAAAAAAAAACCATTAATTCAATTTTATCAAAAGCATCAAATATTTTAAAAGTTTGCAGTTAAATGAGCATTGCACTTTTGAGATAATAGTCATGAATATATATATGTATCAAAGAATGCAAATTATATTTCTCTTCAAATAATAATAATTATGCTGCAAGATATATTTTTTTTTATCTGTGTGAGTCAGATTTGATACTTTTGTACTAACATATTAGAATTTTTGATATACAATTTATTAATATTTTTTATCAATATATTATGTTGTCTCAATTGTCAATTTTGATAACCCAGACATCAATTTAACTGAATAACTAATTCAGTTTATTAATAGTTTAATATTTGAAATAAATTAAAATTTATGTTTGGGCACAATATGTAAATAATAATGCATGTAACTTAACTATGTTAGTAAATTATAAAATTAACTAAAATCAAAAATCTCAATTTTGCAGACAACAAAAAATAACAGGCAATTTTTTTCGTTAGAGTTAGGTAACTTCATGTGCTGCATAGCAGCGCATGAAAGAAATTGACTAATGGGAAAATATTTCCTTTTATTTGTTGTACATTGAACCTTAATTTTGATTTTTCAACAGCTGTGATTGACAAAATTTTGGCCGCATTATATATAATTTTGACTGGAGTTTAATTTTTTAATTGTTTAAGGTTTGGTTCTGTTTGATGCTAAAATTAACCCAGGAACATATTTCACTTAGAGTTGAGAATTATATTTTACAAATTTACAATACATGTAACTTTATGGAATATATTGTGATTCTGGAAATTGGTGAGTCTGTTACTAATAAAGATGGGCAAATCGCAGTTTTTCAAAAAATCCCACATGTCACACATGGAATCTGCACGAGATTTATTAAATCTAGGTGCCACACTGTTGAACCTTAATTTTGATTTTCCAATGGCTGTGATCAACAAAATTTTGGCTGCATTATACATAATTTGGTTTAGGGTTTGGGTCTGTGTAATGATAAAATTAACACAGAAACATACATTTTACAAATTTACAATACATGTAATTTCACATAAGTTTTAGTAATATAAATTTCATTTAATTTTACGGAATATATAGTATCTAGAGATGGGCAAATCACAGTATCTCCAAAAATTCCATGCAGGATTCATTAAACTACAAAATTTTAAACCCTAATTTCACTTAATGGGCAGCCATGCTTTCTTTACTAAAAATTCGAGTAATTTAGTCCAAACTTTTGGTCATTGCCATTGATCAATCAAAATAGTGAATTTCTATATATTTTTGCAAGATTTAATAGCAGTAATTACACTAAGCACGTCCTTGGTTAAAGGTTTCATCTGATTCAATTTTTGTAAGATGATTTCAAATATTATTATTACTACACATGTTATTTATTTTTAAAAGAGTGACTTAATGATAAAGAATATTTTTGTAATGTAAATAAAAGATACCAATAGCAAAGAAGGTAAATTCTTATCGTATATATAAATAAACATATGTGTGAAATGGTATAAAAATAAATAAATAAATTTTAATTAGAAATTGGCTAAATATGTTATTGCAGGTCAGATATTATATTAATGCTAGTTAGATATTACGGTAATGCTGGCTAAATAATCTTATTTCGGGATTATATTAAAAATCCTGCATGTGCTCATCACTAGTCGCTAAACTAATTCAACTCTCACGTAACCTATAGTGGCTAAGTCAAAATAGGCATATTAGATTTGATAGATAGTTTATTTGTAGGTAAGTACTTGTCTCTTCTCTTTATGTCTTTCCTTTAATCTCTTTTTTGGTCTACCTCAAACTGGGATTATACTACATCAAGTCGGGGTTGGAACTCTTCTATTACGTTATCAGTCTTGTCATGTGACTTGTGGTGAGTCATCAATTGGTGAGTTAGTGGTTTATAAATGAATGAATGATATGGACAATAGTGGTTAAAGATGGTTTATTAGTTTATTATTACACTTATATTTTATTATAAATTAGATATTTATTGGTACTGGAAGTTTTATTTGTATAAGAAACAACTTGGTTTTGTTTTCTGGGATGGAAATGCCCTTTATTTATAATAAATGTCTTATTTACATTCATAATCAGTTTATGCCATAAATGCCAAATATTCATTAAAAGACTGATATGTCATTTAACACATATATGGCTGAAGCAGCAGAAGTGACATAAGTGCCATAAGTATTATAAGTACTATAAGTAACATTTCTGTTACTTTTTGCATGACCTTGGATCAGATAAGGATCGTCACTTCGATTTGGGCACTCGTGATCCCAAAAATCGGGCTCACAATATAGTATCTTAAGATAGACAAATCGCAGTTTCTCCAAAATTCTGTGCAGGATTCATTAAACCACAAAATTTTAATAGCTGCCTGATACAAAAGTATCAGAGCAGCATTTTGTCTTGAATCAGTCACAGGTTCTTGAATCATATTATTTACTATATAAGTAATTTATGCTTGATTAATTATTGTTTGATTTATACTTGATCGATTATTGATTTATTAATTGATTGATTTATTGAGTTGTCATATAATCTTTGACTTTTTTTTTGATGTTTAGTGACATAATTTGGTTGATTAGTAATCATTGATAGTATTTAAGAAGAACAGGCTTGTTCTCAAAGAGAGTAGTTTCTGTTTTTTCTGCTAACCCGACTTTGTCTAGTTTTTTTGTACTATATCTGTATTACCTAACTTTTTAATCGATCTTAGTTCAATAAACTTTTTCTGAATTTTTTTATTACTGGTATTACTTAAATTTCTAAAAATGTTCATAGTGTCTAAAGTAAATCCTTTAAGTAAAATTGTTGCATTTTGGGAATGTTAACTGTAAACAAGAAATCAGACCCAATCGTCATTTCAGGTGATGCTGATACAGCAGGCATGAAATCGAGTCTTCAACATTTATTCATAAAGGTGTTGAGATTTGTTTGTCATAAAATGGGCCTATCAGATTTGGGTCAAAAGCAAGAGATAGTTGCTAAATTGGTGAAGGAAGATAAAACTCAAGTGGGTCTAGAAGAGCCTACAAGTGAGAATGGTGCTGCAAAAAAAGTAAGAAAGGCACAACTACAGTATATAGAGAGTTAAGATGATTTATTAGAGGACTTTGAAGCATTTCAGTTGTTAGATGACAAGGGGCAATAGCCAATTATGAAAGAAAACTCTTCAGATGTTTATGATAGACAAGCCACTTTAGGACAATTTTTTGTACCAAGTTATGCATGGTAACAGAGTGGTGGTGCAGAGTTGGGGCTATTGAACCTAGGTAACATTAAACACAGAGATTTGTGGGCAAAGCATGATTTATCAAAACAGTATAACTAGTGAGAATATAATAAATAGTGTAAAGCAGGAATATTATTAGACAAGGCCTTAGTTTCAAAAGATTTGAGTTATGTGTGTTTGGCAAGGCAGATGGTTTTAGAAAGAGCCTATGTCATTAGGGTGGCTAATGAGGATAATTGGAAAGTTGCATCAAAGATGACTATTAAAGATACTTTGGACCTGATATCAGAGTTGTTAGGAATTAAACAGAAGAATGTGAAGTTGGCAATGCATTATTTTCTGAAAGCTAAGAGAGTAAAAATATCTTTTCAGCCAGTTTTGAGTAATCTCAGCTACAGAGTTCAGTTCTGCAAGGGCCTTTGGTTCAGGTTGCACTGGTTCAGCCTCTCATACTGTTAACATTAAGAGTTTTATACTTTTTTAATTATAACTTTTTATGTACCAAACTAAATTGAATAAAACAACTACTATTGGATTCAGCTTACCAAGTTGATTCTAACAAGCACAAGATCATATGATTTTGATTACGGAATCATAAGATCAAGATGATTTTGATAAAAAGCACTAATTATAATACATGTGGCTTGATTTTGATTGGCTCAAATTACTGTGCTGGAAATCTATCATTTCTATTATTTCTATCATTTTTAGTAGATCTATTATTTTTATTAAATCTATTATTTCTACCAAATCTATTAGTTCTATCATATCTATCATTTCTACTATATCTATTATATATATTATATCTATTATATTTATTAGTTCTTATTACTATAAATAGCATTTATTAGCAATAGAGTAGTCTTTATTGTAATTATTTATACATGTAAAATATCTATAAAAGCACTACTTTCTGACTCTTCAAGAAAATTAAGTGTCTTCATACATTTCAATAGAAAGTGTCTTCATACATTTTATAGTAAATAAACTGAATGCAATATTTAGTATCTTTATATACTATTTATTGTTGCCTCTGCCTTAAAATCCCAAATCACTCAATATTTTGTTAAGTCTTGTGTAGACTTTGGTATAAAACCTGTCAAGTTATAGTCATCATACTATAGTTGAGCAGCTTCTGTTATGTATTACTGTAATTAAAGAAAAAACTACAGATTAACATTGGCTACTAAATTATTTTATTATATTAATTCTGACAAAACTCTTATCCTACATGCCAACTTTCT